TATTTTGGGACAGGGTTAGATGGAATGGGAAGAGTTACACAAAATTGATTTTGAGCAGAGGAACATTATGATCAGATGTCGAGTGGCAGTGTGGTGGTCAAGGGTTTGGAAGACGCGTTATGTTATGATCAGATAAAATACTAGATAAACGTAATGAGAAACAAGAAGGCAGTAGGTTAAATAAAATCAGGCACAGGTAAAAAGAATGATGGCCAGTGAATGGTTGTTTTTTGTACATGCTAAACATGATTCTAAATAATTTAAATGTGACCCAGTGAAACTGGGAGAGTTCTTTTGTAGACCTAAGCAAGCACACCGGGCACACAGAAGTAGGTGGCCCTGAGGTCCTGCCACAGTCTGCGAGCCAAGCCGTGGGGACTGTTTCCTCTTTTTAACCATCGTCTTTGCAATAGACGATAGCAATTTTGTTTTAAAGTTCAGAGGAGGACCTTCACTTCCAAATGTGGCAAAGCAGAAGGCTACGTGTCAAATTTGGTCCTTATATACTCGATAAAGATTCCTAAGGAAAGCAAGCAGCGTGTGTTAAGATGCAAAATTTTTGAGTCCGCCGGCCAGACCTGGCACCTCATATGAATAAACAGGGGGAGGGGGAGCCACAAGTCAGTTTTCTAATAAGCTCCCTGCATGACTCTGAAGCAGCTAAGTAGGACTCAGGGACCACTTTGCAGCAATAAGAGTTGTCTGGGAGGCTCATCAGATGGCAGGTCCCAAGCCCCTTCCCTGGAGGGTTGGGCCAATGGGTCCGTCATGGGACAGGAGAAATTTGCTCCAGGCAGCCCAGGTCCTGGGTTGGCTGCAGCTGTCCTGACGTGTGCTTGTCCAAACGTGGCTCTTCACAGCATTGCTTTCATGTTCAAAACAGCCCCCGTTTGGACAATGGGGTATTTGTTTGACCTCTCGTGAGGCTCACATCAAGGGAGCAGTTTGGGAAACACAGCTCTGTGGAATGTCAGTGACTTGGGTCCAACCTCCCGAATTGAGTCATGTGCTCATTTAGCCTCACTGGGTCGTCCCCAGTTTTCTCACCTACAACATACATGAAAGCATTCCTAATTCCTGGGCTCTTTTCATCCTGCCTAAGGACCCTAGTAGGAGGTACTCAGCAAAGGCCAGCTCTGAGCTAACTAGGAGTGTCAGAACTCCTTGGATCAGCCCTCTGAAGCCTCTTCAAGGTCATGATCAGTGTTGCACCGAAGGGGAAGGTGGCAGCCTCTGCGGTGAGCAAACAGGACCATTTGCAAGTTCTCGGAGGATACACAGCTGCAGGCTCCAGGTTGATTCCACCGACCGAGAGCAGTTTGGCTTTTAACTGTCAGAGCCACACCCTGAGGTTGGCTTCTCTGTCACTGCACCAACCTATAAGGCAAAAAAAAAAAATAGTGCCAGGGCAGATGGGGGGTGGGGGGGTAGGAAGACCAAGTCAATAAACCACTTACAAACTCCTGGTCCTCTTGCCAAAGACATGCACATTGGCCAGCCATGCGCAGCGGGAAGAATTCTAATAAATAATCCAAAGAGAGACATAATCCAGATGACATTTTAAAGATTATTGATCAAAAGTCAGGAGTTTGCTAATATAAATGGCCTTTACCACAAGATTTGCATTCATGACACTCATCCAGGGCATGTCTCTAAGCCCGGGGAAGTATCGACATCACCGACACAAACAACAACACGGCCCCGGCGATCTGTTTTCACGCGAAATGGAAAGAGTTTCCGCTTATGATGATGGTTGGTGTGGTGGCAGGCGTACCTTCCTGAGCCCCGAGGGACAGCTTAGGGTGGTCTGCCCATCTGTGGGTTCCAACGATACGATGCAAGTGCCCAGTTCCAGAGACGCTTCACGAGATATGATCAAGGCAGATGCTCACCTAGGAAGTCCTTAGGGCTGTCTGCCCTGTGGCTGACCACTCGTGGAAAAAGAGCAAGGGCATGCAAATAGGGTATGGGGAGATTTTTTTTTTTTGATTTGGTTTGTGGGGACTTTGTTTTTTCCTTTTTCTGTTTTTTTTTCTTCTTCAGCTAATTAGACCCCACAAGCACAATTTGTCATGGTTTCAGATTTGTGACAAAGGACATATTTCTCTGTTGGATGATGGGATGTCACTCAGAGAGATCCGAAAGCCTCTCGTCTACCACATCCATTTGTTCTGACAAGCCTTAGCTTTTTTTTGACTGAAGTAGACTTTTCACTGTACGAGGAGACTGTTGGCAGTGTCAGGAGAACTTCTTTTTCTGTACGTGCTATCACCATTGACGAAGAAGTACCCAAGGGACATCTGCATACGTAGAGAGAGTGAGTCGATTGCAATAACAAACACTTTGGCCCAAAAACTATTAAAACGGGTTTGCATTTTAGTTCTGCCAATCATTGGCCCTGTGACTGGAGGAATTTCAGTGATCTTTCCCAAGCCTTGGTTTATTGTTTTGTTGGGTTTTTTTTTGGTTTATTTGTTTATTTTTTGCATTACAATGCATTACAATTCTTATTACACATGTAGAGCACAAAAATCATGTTTTTTTAAAGATTTTTAAAATTCTAATTAGTTATATATGACAGTACAATGCATTTTGAAACATCATACGTAAGTGGAGTACAACTTGTCATTCTTCTGGTTGTACAAGATGTAGAATCACACCAGTCATGTAGTCATATAGGCACACAGGGTAATTATGTCCAATTCAATGTACCTTCCTACCTCCATACCTCCTTCTTTTTCTTTACTCTCCTCTCCCTAATTCCAAGTAGCTCTATTTTTCTCTAGCCCCCCGCTCCCCATTTGTGAATCAGCATCCACATATCAGAGAAAACGTTCAGCCTTTGGTTTGGGGGGATTGGCTTCTTTTGCTTAGTATGATATTCTCCAGCTCCATCCATTTACCAGCAAATGCCATAATTCAGCCTTCTTTAAGGCTGAATACTATTTCATTGTGTAAATAGACCACATTTTCTTTATGCACTCTTCTGTTGAAGGGCATCTGGGTTGGTTCCATAGTTTGCCAGGCCTTGGGTTTTACTCTGTATTTTGAGTTAGTAGCCTGATTCACCTTTCTATAGGCTCCAATAAGGTGAGCCATCTTACTCTGAACCCACGGCACTCTTAGCATTCAATCAGTGAGACTTTTGCTTTGATGATGAAGTTAGTAAGGCTGCTGTTATGCTTGTGATGCTGGTGCTGGTGTTGGTGATAGTGGTGGTGACGCTGGTGCTGGTGCTGGTGGTGAGGGTGCTGACCTGCCCAGGATGCTTTCAGCTACCCAGCTACCTCTGGGAATCCTGATAAGGAAAAAAAGACTCAGAAAGCTCTGGGGAAGTGTTTGAAAGTAAAGAAACCAAGGTCAGAGTCCTTCTTGTCCACCCCGGGCTGCAGTGTCTCCTGGTGTCCTTACTTGGGACACATTCTGACCACCCTACTGGACACCCACCCCAAAGACACCCCCAAGAGCAAAAGGCCCCTCTTTGTGGGCTGGGGGCATCTGTAGAGCAGGTTCAGAATAGAGAGAAAGTGGGACCGGCTGTGTGGTGGGCAGTCTCTCCAAAGAGAGGCTTACTGTGACCCTCATGGGCCACCACGCCCTGGGTGGCTTTATGAAAGTCCTTTAGCTTCTCTGAGTCTCATTGTCACATCCACAAAATCTAATTAAAGTCTCCTCACAAGGACTTGGAGAGGTTTGGAGCCATGTGAGGAAGTTACCTGTGACCACAGGCAAATGTGTAATGAAAGGCCACGGTGAATGCGGTAGTCGTCCTTGTTCTTAGTGAGGGGCAGCAAGTGCGGTATTTAGTGATCACGTCACCTTCCACCTAGCTGCTAACTCCAGGAACTTCACGCAGAGGCTGTCCTTTCTGTCACCTCCCCTCTACCGGAAAGTTCATCTCTTTCCTCCCCAAGACGTGTCTGAGCTCCAACCCCCATCTCCACACCACCATCAGCACCTGGATGAAGGGACCATCCCTAGGCTACATAACTGCCAGGTCCACCCAACCGGCCTGCGTCCACCCCACCCTGTCTCCCAAGCCACCCTGCACAATCGCCAGAGTTATATTTTAAAAATGTAAAAAGTGATCAAACCATTCACCTTCTCAAAGCTCTCCCCACCAGCCAATTACCAGCCAATCACCAGGGCCACACTGAGCCGTGGGCTCTCCCCCGGTGGGGGCACCTGGATTCCCGGCATCTGCTCATTTCCACCGCAGCTCATTTCAAGTTGAGCCCCACGTGTCCGTGCTCTGGCTTTCACTGCCCGCCAGCCAGCACCAGCCATGCCCTGCGTCCCTGCCAGGCTTCCTCCCTACCCAGCAGCAGCCTCCACACTTTGCTTACTCGGGTGCAGTCAATCCTCCCCACTGCTCTAAGGGACAGGCACTCTCCTGTCCCCATGACAGACAGGGAAACCAAGGCAAGGCATTCTGTGACAGCGGCTGCCCACACGACACTGCCATTCTCCGTCGTGATTGAAGCAAAATCCAAACCCTTCACCTTGGTGATAAAACCTGGTCTGCCCCCGTGCTCTTCCCAGACCTATCGTGTGCCCACGCCTGCTCCCACTCCGCTCTGCTTGACCCCGGTGCCTGCTGGTACCTGCCCTTCTCGTCCATGCCGCAGGCCTTTGTCCCTCTGCCTACAGGACTGCTCTTACATAGCTGATCCCGCCCCCTCTCAGGCTTCAGCTTAAATGCCGTCTCCCTGGACCGATCAGCCTGACCGCCCACCTTCTTCTATCTCGTTACCCTAGCTCTATGCCATTTCTCCCCTGGCCCAGCACCGTGTCTCACGGCCGGTTACTGACTTCTTCCTTCACCTAACTCTTGAGCCCTGGTTCTCAATGGAGGATGAAGGGCGAGAGGGCTACTTTGCTCCCCAGGGGGACATCTGGCAATGCCTGGGGACATCTATGATGTCACAACTGGGTGGGGGAGCTGGTGAGTTACTGGCATCCAGGGGTCCGTTCAGGCCAGGGATGCCATTCGACATCCTACAATGCACGAGCCAGCGCCCGACACCACCTCATCCCCTCCTGCAGGGAGGGTCAAGTTTGAAACCTTTTACTGTTGACCATTTTTCCTCCCTGCCAGAACACTCATTCCAGAGAGGCGCGGCCTTGGGAGCTCTGCTCTTAACTGCATGCCCAGCAGCCATCCCAGGGCCCAGCACAGAGTAGGTGCTTCAAAAGTCAGTGTGAAATGACTCAGTGAAAAGCAGGCAGTGGTCACAGTAACATGAAGACCTTGGTTTAATGAGGCACGTCGACGTGTGTCCACGGCAGGCAGGAGACGGGCAGAGAAGACCCTGTCGGCCCACTCTCTCCGCTTGGCCCTCCTCTTGGCGTGAAGATGAGGAAGGAGCAGCAGCATTTGAGAAGCCAGCTCCTCCTCCTCCCCTGGCCTCCCGGAGCAGCGGTCCACTAAGTGTTGCGCTTGGCCAGAGCTCCCCGCCGTAATTTGGTTAATTGGATGAACAGGCACTTCAGTGACACAGACTGAATTTCCACACTGCAGTCCATCAAAACTAATCAGTTGGCTGCGCTCCATTTCTTAGCAACTGACAGTTTCGCCAGGACGGTGAGTCGATGGTAACTTTTTTAAATTGAAGAACCTGCTAAATAACAGCGGCCGTTAGAATTTGGCAGGATGCTTTCCAAGGGGGAAGGGGAGGAAAGAAACCCAGGGTTGTCTTTGTTTTCCTTTAAAGAGATAATCTTGTTGTGGGACTGGATGATTAAAGGTCTCTCCCAAAGACACGGGTGAAGAAGAATCACCTCGAAATTGCACTTTTGTCTTTTTTGTGTGTAAAAAGAAAATGTCCGAGGCTGGTGCACTGCATTCTCTCCCTTTAGTTGGCACTTACTAAACACTGCTTGTACCTTATGTATGCCTGATTTAGCGCACCATGTGACTCAGGGTAGAGCTAGCTGCTATAACAAACAAACCTTAAACTTTCAGTGGTTTAATGCAAGATGCCTCCTTCCCCAAAAGTCCAATCAGGAGATCCTGGTTGGGAGTGGCTCTCTGCCAGGCAGTGACTCAGGGACCCAGGCTCCTTTTGTCTTGGTTTCATTATCCCCTAGGTCCTCAACAGCATCTGCTCCCAAGCCATCAGAAGCAGAAGATGGCGTGGAGAAGGCTCACCCCATTTTAAAAAATGTTGGTCCGAACGTGACACGCCACGATGTGTTCACATTCCCTGAGTGAGAATTGGTGCCGTGGCCACACGGAGAGGCAAAGGGGTCTGATAGATGTGGCTGTGCCTACTGATGACTCCAAACTGTGGAAGGGAAAGCCTGGGTTTGGGGGGATGGCCAGCCATCTCAGCCAGGGGTGAGCATCTCATCTGTACCAACTCTATGAGAAATTATTAGGGTTTCCCTTTTTTCCTAAATAAGGAACCTGAGGTTCATATGAGATAAGGAACTGATCTGGGTTTGTGTCATGGGCAAACAGCAAGGTCAAGATTTGCACATGGACCATGTAAAACCTCTGTCTTCCTTCTCTCCCTGCCTTCCCACTCCTTTCCCTTTGCTCCTTCTCTTTTTTTTCCCCTTCCCTTCTTTTATTCTAAACCTTGAACATTTCTACTCCAGACTTCTGTCCCTTTGTATGTTTTCAATCTGGTGGTTCATTTTGGCTCAAAAAATCATCGTATTGAGCAATCTCTAACCTGGAGGAATCTGTGTGAAGCATACAAGATCATGGCTCAAGCCTTCATTTTATTCTCAAAAGCACAGGGAACTTGAAAAGGGACATGATAGAAAAGAGATGCTTCTAAAAGGCAAATCTGATACTGTCACTCCTTATATAATAATCCTTGACGTCTCCCTATCGCGTCTCGCACAGGGTTCATAGTCTGTGGCTTAGCGTAAAAATACAGCTGTGATCTCAGCTCTGAATGCCTCCCTGGCCATCACTCAGACTTCAGGCAGACTCTGGGAAGACTTCCCCTGCTCCCGTCGCAGATTGCAATGGTTGGTGCTTGTCTGTTCTGAGAGCTGTATACTGTGAACTCCTCAAGGACATCCTCTCTCCACCCATCTCCCCAGTGCCTAGCCCAGGGCCTGACACAAAGCTCCCTGAATCCTAAGGGCACAGGGAGGAAATGGAGCCCATTGCTGAGCAATGAGATATGCAACAAGAGCAAGTGGTTTCATGTCCACTGGAAGTTTAAATTGAGGAAAAGTCACAGCCCCCTTCAGTTTGAACTTGCAGCATGGATCCGTCACAGTCTAAGTAGGGCAATGCTTTCTGTGCGTCGTACGGTCTGCAGTTGACACGGTGGCATGCGCAGGATCTCCCCTCATCCTCTCCACTGCTCTTACAGGTGGCAGGTGCCACACGCGTGTTTGTGGCATGTGTGTGTGTCATGTGAGTGCTTGCTGCTAACCAGACTCCCCCTCTACCAGGAGGTGCATATGGCTTCTCGGGTGGGTTGGCATAATTGCAAATGGTACGCTGAGTGTGTTTTACGTTTGCATTTTTTTTTTTTAATTGCTGGTTTGAAGATGTTCGTCCGAGGAGGGAGATTGCAAAGGAGGTTGCAATATCCCCAAATTCCAAAACATGGACGGCTCCGGGGACCTCTGACCCACTGCACTCACTCCTGTTGGCAAAGATTCCCAGTGCCGCGTGGAGACCAGCCCCCATGCACGTTGCACAATCGCGGGGTTTGTATGAAGTTTTGCAGGGAGCGTGCCAGAGCCTATTTCTAAACAGTCTGATGATTTATTTGATGCCTTTGGATATTTAAGTAGCCTGCAGTATATACCAAGTGTCTGAAATGTTTATTTTTTCCTTGCTTTAATGTGTGGGACCTCTCACAACGCCTTGTACACCCCAGGCACTCAATAAATATGATTTATGGAAGATGTAAATAAATCCAAACCAAGATTATGTCTGCGTTCATTAATTTGTAGCTCCAGCCGTCTCGCTCTCCAAAATGGAAAAAGAGAAAAATCCCCACCAAATTACAAAAGAAAAGAAAATGCAAAATGTGGGCCACTTGTGAAGCCCCCTGGAGTGAACTGGAAGGTGCTGGGTTCCATACTCAGTGTTGGTGTGTCCATACCAGGTGACCTTGAGTCAATTATCTCACCCTCCTGGGTTATCTCTTCAGGACCCCGTATGGAACCAGAATGAGTAAATGATACCTTGGCACCCCTGAGCTCCAGAGAAACAAGAGGCAAATAGGACGGAGTTGAATTTGTTGAGAATCCGCCAGAGCCTGGGTAATCTTCTGGAGGGTTCTGACCATTTTCTTCCCAGCATCCCTAAAGAGGAAAGTGGAATGGTCAAGTTACCTGGGTTCAGATCTCTCCTCTGTACTGGCTGTGTGACCTTGGGCAAGTTGCTTCAACTTCCTGGGTCTTAGTTCACTCACTTGACAAACGAGGATGAACACAGTTTGAACAAACTCTTCATATAATGCCCTAATGCAGCACGGCTTCATGATTAATGTGGGTGCACGTGTTTTTTCCATCGCTGTGATTCTCATTTCGGGATGAGATGACTGAGACTCACAGGTCTAAATACCAGGTCTGAGGTCATGCTACTCAATTCTTTGGGAAGGGGTAATGATGGGGAAGGAGGAAAGAGATTCCATCTGGTTCTGCAGCTCCGTGGCCCTGACTTCTGCTCCAGTGCTCCATGTGCCTCTCTCGCAGTGAGGAATGCAGGCCCAAGGCTCAACGCTTGGCTCTGGGCCCGGCTGGTCTTTGGGCATGGTCTCTTCCTAGCAGGCTCGGCGGGGCAGGAGTGCTCACCAGCTTTGACCCTTCTGGGCACACCCACTACTGCCGGACTGCCCGTGCTTCTTGTCTTCCCTGAGCAGGAGAGAAAATGAAACTCAGAGGAACAACGCCACCCAGCAGAAGTGGGGCCAGCCACCAAGACCCCTTCTCGTTTGGGGATGTCCTCTTAGCCATCATCCCCTGTCCTGTCTGTGAAACCCTGGCTGCTAGAAAGGTCCTTTATGGAAACTCAGTACTGACCCTCCCTATCTCCCCGGGACACGTCACTCCCTCCTTCCCCAGGGAAGGGCCTGCCAGCTTCCCCTGTATCCAACAGATCTTCTAACATGGTCACTCCAGAATCACCACTGGAAGGTCCCCTGGACCGGGCATCTCCCTTCCTGCCCTCAGGGTTTCCTTAGCTCTCGTCAGGAGGGGGTCCTCCTGTCCTTCTGAAAACTAATCAAGTTGAAAACGAACACAAACTTAAAACGCACACTTCAGTGGGAGCTAGCCCCTCTTCTTAGACTGAGCTGGTCCCACGTGCCTTCAGAAGCCCGTCTGGCCATGACACCAGGAAGAGACACACTGAGCAGAATAGGAAGTGCCAAGGGAAGGAATTGGGCAGATATTCTTCTAAAAACCATTCCCCTCCCTCCGTGACAGTCCCCAAAGTCAAGATTTCTTTGCCTCTAAATCTACATTTGTTTTCTCTTTTTAACCTCTTTGTTGGTACAAGTAGACCCTGTAAAGTGCACTGACCTTGAGGGTCCACCTGACCAAGCCCAGGGGCACAGTCACGCAGGGCCCCGTGCTTACAAGGATGGCTCTTTGTTTAACGTCGTGCTCTTGCTGTGTGAAAGCTCTGGGCAGAGTCTGCTGGCATTTACGTTTTATCCTTGCCACGGGTTTTTCTACCCATGTACGTTGACTGGTGGGAGTAGCCATCGCACGTGCTCCAAGGTCTCCTTTTTTCAGGCCAAGCAGAAGATTAAGAAACATTTTTCATCTTCCACGTGGGATTAGGTCTGCATTAGCTCTTTATTTGTTAAGCGACTTGATCTCATTACGGATCAATCTGCTGAGTATCAAATACATGGGAAACTGAGGTGCTTCATCCTGCAAGACTCCACTTGGAGTCCTGAAACATCTGAAGCCACCTCCCACGTGAACCCAGACAGCAGCTTTTGTTCTTGTTTTACGACTTTGCGTGGTTTCTCGCCCTCACCCCTCCCCCGGGGGTTGGTTGCTGTATATCCAGGGCTTGCAAAATTTTGCAAGGTAGGAAAGGCGGCTTGGCACAGGGGAGGGAACTGTGAAGGCAAGCCGACCTGGCTGGGATCAAATCGTAACCTGCTTTTCACTTGCTGGGTGACCAAGAGTGAATTCCCTCTTCTCCCCATCCCTTGGGGTCCTGCTTGGAGGAGCCAGAGCAAATTTCCAAACTCGTGCCTCTCATTTGTGAGCCCTGCACCTGGTTCCTGGATGTCCAGGGAGTGGGAGCTGTGTGGTCAGTGTCTCCCTTGGCCTGCTGACTGAGCCTCTCATAACAGGTGACCGGGGGCTCTGTCTCCCACCAGTGGTCCTCTCTTCTCTGTGTCCTCCCTTGACTTCCTCCAAGCCCTCTGGATTTGACTTCAAGGTGCCCACCCCGCCCAGAGTCAGGGCATTTTCTCTGCAACTCTACCCTCTCCTCCACCTCTGCTCAAAGGTGGACCTCGGTGTAAGGGTCTAGGGCTTGGAAGACATTTGGATGGCTAAAAAAAATCATCGCTCCACCCTTTCCTAGCTCTTTAGTGTCTTTATGCAAGAGGCTTTAGAACTTGACTCTCCTTAAGATCC